TCCCAGAAGCCCCCGAGCCTCATTTGACTGTGTGGCTCTTTGGCCCCCACCCTCTGGGGTGGGTCCATGAGTCAGGCCTCTGCCCTGCCAACCTGTGCCTTTCAGTGGGCATGGAGGACTGGCCTTGGCCCCCAGGGGGTTGCTGGGCTTTGGGAGGGACAGTCAGCCCACACCTGTGGGACCACGGGTCTTGGGGCGCAGGGGCTTTCTGGCCCCCACCCACTCCCGTTTCCAGGCCATGACCACTCTGCCCTGTCCTGGCCACACGGACTCGGCCTGCCTTTGCCCTCGGTCTACTTGCCCCAACATGAGGCTCTGAGAGCCACTTGCCCACCAGTCTGGTGAGGATAATGGTGGCTCCAGCAACAGGAGGCCAACCCTGGAGATCAAGAATAGGGTGCCTGGCTGCCAACTGCTCCTCCAGAGGTGCGGCTGCACCATACTTAGCACTAGCATTCTATCAGCACTAGCATCCCACTCCATTGGTACTGGTACCCCGCTCCATTGGCATTAACGCCCCGCTCCATCGACACTGGTGCCCACTCCATCGGCACTGGCGCCCTGCTCCATCTGCATTAATGCCCCGCTCCATCGACACTGGCGCCCACTCCATCCCCCGCTCCATCAGCACTGGCGCCCCGCTTCATCGGCACTAACGCCCCACTCGGCGCCCCACTCCATCAGCACTAATGCCCTGCTCCATTGGCACTGGTGCCCCACTCCATTGTCACTAAGGTCCAGCTCTATTGGCACTAACACCTCGCTCCATCGTCACTACGTCCAACTCCATCGGCACTAACGCCCTGCTCCATCGGCACTGGTGCCAGGTTCCATCGTCACTAACCTCCAGCTCCACCGGCACTGGCGCCCCACTTCATGGGCACTTTGCTGCTGCCTCCTGAGCACTGCCTTCCATGAACAGGGACAGACCAGAGGCCCTGCAAGGACTCAGCCCCGCGGGCCTCCAAAGGGCAACAGAAGAGTATTAATAAATGTGAAAACTTCCCTCCAGGGTGTTCTGTTCTTTCGGTGTCTGGAGTGTGGGGAAACCTGGAATATAAACCCTTTGCCCTGGCCTTGTGTCGTGGTGGCACATTTTGCTGCGCTGTCACCAGGGGGAGCCACATCCTTGGCGTCCAGTTTGGCTGGGCCCCAATGGGCAGCCGTGTCCCTTGGGACTCTTGTCCCCATGTGTCAGCCAGTGCCTGCCCTGCTCTGGGGGCACCATCTGTGCCCTAGCAGAACAGGGAGCTGAGCAGGACTCAGGGTCTTCAACAGGCCACTCCTCTCTCACAACTGTGAAAGGAAGAAGGGCCCAGAGACGCTGCTTGGTCAGTGGTGGGACCCTCTTGCTGCGCGTTGGGGATCCGGAACTCAAGGCTGCCCCAGACTGAGTCCCTTAGAGAAGGGGCTGACAGTGGGCCTGTCCTTCCCACCAGCCCCTGACATCCAACTTCTCCCTACCAGGAGCCCCAGGCCAGGGCCCACCACGAGCTGGTGGGTGTGTGGTCAGAACTAGTGATCACCCAGGCACGACCCCTCCTTCCACCCGTGCTGGTTCCATCTCTTTCACCTGCTGGTGGCCTCAGGGCCCCTGGCTGAGGGGAGGCGGGGGCCAGTAGATACTCTGGTCCCTTGGTAACAGGTGTGCATGTGGCAGCCCTCTCTGCCCCCAGGCCTTTCTCAGCCAACCTCCCATGCACACATCATCCTGCAGTGGCTGCCATAGTTTGCCGTAAGAAGCAAGAGAGGTCTTGCTGTGGACAGGACTGATTCCAGTTGGTGATTTTTACCTCTGGGGGCCTGGTGTTGTGTGCATGCGTGTGGTGGGTGGCCAGGACAGTACAAGGACTTCTTGGTGGTGGTGGCTGGCTCCAAAGGGAGACACTCGGGCGTAACGAGATCAGATAAGCATGTAGGCCAGGAGCTAAGAATAGGATTGAGCACAGGTTCTTGGCTCAGGTAGGGGCACATCAGTGCCAGCAAAGAAGTCACCGGCAGAAGCCAGAGAATGGAGCCTGAGCTGGGAGAGCGGGGCCAGGACCCAGGGTTCCAGGGAAGGGGCAGAGTCCAGCTCAGCTCATAAGCAGAGCTGATAGCAGTCATTAGGAGAGAGGGCAAGGGTTAGGACCCAGGGCACTGAAAGCCCAGGGCCAGGAGGCGAGCTTCGTGCTTGGTGCTTGGAGGAAGCCCCGCCTGGCCCTATGGCCTTTCTGGTGGCTGGGACCCTGCGGGTGGCCACGCAGATGGCAGACACTAGAGACAGTCTGGGGAGAAAGGTAGCAGGCGGCACCACCTGGCCCAGCTGCTCCTGCCTCCTAGCTGAGCCCCAGCCCAGCCCAGCCTAGCTCTGGCCTTACCTCCCCAGGGGAAGTACGACGTCCGGGGTCCAAAGGCAGCCCTGATGCTCATCAGCCCTGGGGTGGTGGCCGCTGCAGTCACTGCTCTGGAGGACGTGTTCCAGGCCCTGGGCCTTGAGAGCTGGGAGAGGAGGCAGGTCCCAGTCCAGGTGAGCCTCTGCCTCTTACCTCCACCCTCAGGCCCAGCACCGAGCCCTTCCCCATTTTCCCCTGACCCAGATTCTCCTCCCGACCCCAAACCTCCCGGGACTCAAGCCGGTCTCACTTTTGCCCCTAGGGCTTCCTCGAGAAGCTGGCTTGGTTCCGGGAGCGGCTGGATGCCCACAGGTGCCCTGTGGGGTGTGCCTTAGTGGCCTTGGTGGCCCCCAGAGGGCAGCTGAGGCAGCCACAGCAGTTGGTCCGGGAGCTGAGTGGCTGCAGGGCCCTGCGGGGCTGCCCCAAAGTCTTCCTGCTGCTCTCGAGTGGCCCTGGGTGTGAGTGAGCTGGCTCGGGATCCAGGGGCTGGGCAGGGACCCAGGAGCAGAGCCTCGGGCCTCACTCCAGGCCAACGCGCTGCTTCTCCACTCAGCTGCCCTGGAGTCCGGAGTCTTCCTTGCTGGCCTGAGAGAGCTCTGTGGCCGCTCTCCTCACTGGTCCCTGGTGCAGCTGCTGACGGAGGTGGGGACGCTGGAGGGGGAGGCCCAGGGAAGTGGGGCTGGTTCTGCTGTGTCCCCCTGAGTCAGTTACAGTCAGATTCATTGACGTGTATCCTCCCTCCAATTCATTCTACAAACCTTTATTGTCTACAGAAGTGGTATCAGCCCCCCACCCCCAACTCGGGACCCCCGACAACCCACTCAGGATGCCCCGACACTCCAGACTCCTCCCAACTCCATGCCTTGGCCCAAGCGGTTCCCTCTGCTTGCCATGCCCTCCTGTTGTCCCAGGAGCCCTGCAGAGTCCTCTACAGGCTGCCAGCAATGCCCTTCCTTGCATCCATGCATGCACTTCAGACTGCCCCTTTCCACACCAGGCAGTGATTATCCACCCTGTTAGATCACAGGACCCTGGAGGCTGGGACTGGGGATGATTCAAGTCTGGTATCCAGGGCTGAAGGTCTCACTATGCAGTTGGGTGGCCCCTGGGCAGCCCTGGAGGTGAGGGGGCCCCAGCTGTCCTCCACAGATCGCCCAGCAGGGTAGTGCCCACCCCATGAGCCTTCCCAACAGGCCCTGCCCTACTCTAGGGAACATCCCCACCTCTATGCGCACTGATCCCAGGGCAGGGGTTAATGGTGTGGCCACTGTCCATTCGAGACCATCCATGCCCAGGTAAGTCCATAACCTTGAGCCCGAACTGGAGCCTGGGTCTTGCTTGAGGCCATCCTGCCTGTCTGTCCTTTGCCGGCCTCCTCCTCTCTGCATTCTAGCAGGTGACCCTGAAGAGACTATAGAAGCCACAAGTCTGGCTGAGTCTTTTCTCGGCCCCATCCTCAGCTCTTCCGCAAGGTGACTGAAGAGTCCACAGGGGGCACCTGCTGCCCTGTCCTTCGGAGCTCTTTGCGGGGGGCACTGTGCCTGGGAGGCGTGGAGCCCTGGAGGCCTGAGGTGAGGGGGACAGGGCAGGGGTCCAATCACATGGCCACAGTTTCCAGTGGGAAGAAGCTTAGGGAGACCCAGGCCGGGGAGGCCAGGAGTTGGAGTCCTCTCAGGCCACTTTAGATGCGTCTTAACCCTCTCTGCAGCTGGTCCCCGGTCCCAACACACAGTATGACCTGTCCAAGACCAGGGTTGCCCTCCTCCTGGCTGTGATCCAAGGCCGGCCTGGGGCCCAGCATGACGTGGAGGCCCTGGGGGGCCTATGCCAGGCCCTGGGCTTTAAGACCACCGTGAGAATGGACCCTACAGCCCAGGTGAGGGGAAACCGAGAACTTACGCTGGTGGTCTGAAGGAAGACCCCTCCCTAGGAACCTGGGGCCTCTCTCCTGGGCCTCTCTCCATCACTGGCAGGAAGTGCACCACACGTCTAGCCTCTGTCCTCCTACTGCCTGCGTCGGGCCTGTCACTTCCCTGCCTCTAGAAGCCTGGTCTCCAGGGTCTCCAAGGCCTCCCTCATTGGCTGGTTCTCTCCCCCCCCCCTCCCCCCCCCCCCGCTTAAAGCTTTAGCTCCAAGTCTTGGTTTCCCTCTTGGCTCCCAGCAGCCCACTCCACTCTCCTCACACCTCTCAACTTCTTGGTGCAGCTTCCCCACCAGGGCAGGAGGAAAACTGGCTCCAGGAAGCTGGGTCTCTATGTCACCTCTAAAGAGGCCATGCCAAGGCCTTGCAGGAGGGAGTTAGAAAAAGGCTTCTGGTTGGGCGCAGTGGCTCATGCCTGTAATCCCAACAGTTTGGGAGGCCGAGGCAGGTGGATCACTTGAGGTTAGGAGTTTGAGACCAGCCTGGCCACCATGGTGAAACCTTGTCTCTACTATAAAGACAAAATTAGTAGGGCGTGGTGCTGCACGCCTGTAGTCCCAGCTACTCAGGAGGCTGAGGCAGGAGAATCGCGTGAACCCAGGAGGCGGATATAGCAGTGAGCCGAGATCGCGCCACTGCACTCCAGCCTGGGTGACAGAGCAAGACTCCATCTCAAAAAAAAAAAAAAAAAAAAAAAGAGGGCTTCCTCCCTGGGTCTGTGAGTGGCAGGTGGTGGGAGGCCAGGTGGGTAGGATCTGGGAAACCTTCTCAGCCTGGGAGAGGGCAGCCAGGGGCTGGAGAGGTGGTGGCTTTGGCCCAGGCCTCAACATTGTTCCCACCCAGGCTTTCCAGGAGGAGCTGGCCCAGCTCCAGAAGCAACTGGACACCTGCAGGGGCCCTGTGAGCTGTGTCCTTGTGGCCCTGATGGCCCACGGGGGACCACGGGGTCAGCTGCTGGGGGCTGACGGGCAAGAAGTACAGCCCGAGGCACTGATGCAGGAGCTGAGCTGCTGCCGGGTGCTGTGGGGCCGTCCCAAGGTCTTCCTGCTGCAGGCCTGCCGTGGGGGTGAGTGGCCTGGCCTCCTGCCCTCACTTCTCGGCCAGCCTTAGTCCCCAGGACTCACTGTCTACCTCCTCCAGTGAGCCTGGGTACCCGCCCTTCCCTGCCCCCTCTCCTGTCCTCTCCTAGAGGTCAAGTCCACGACCTTGAACCCTTAACTCTCAACACTTGTCATTCAGAGCTCTGAATGTCTCCAGTCTGGCAAGCCTGCCCTGGAGCTCTGGAGCTGGGTTCTCACCTTGACCTCACATTCACACAAGACCCCTGAGCACCCCCAGGTATCCCCAGAGTGAGACTATCTGCCTCTCCCCACCCTCTTCAGGAAACAGGGATGCTGGTGTGGGGCCCACAGCTCTCCCCTGGTACTGGAGCTGGCTGCGGGCACCTCCATCTGTTCCCTCCCATGCAGATGTCCTGCAAATCTACGCTGAGGCCCAAGGTGGGTTCTGCCTTCCTTCCAGGGCCTGGGTTTGGGCAGGGCTGGTGGTGGGGACTGTCCAGAGAGCATCTCCAGGGCTCTAAGCTGGGGTATGGCTGCCACCTGCATCCTCTGTTTGCCAAGACAATGGGAAGAAAAAAATCTTCCTTAACTGCAAGGGCCTTTGGGAAATGGGAACTTCTTCCCCTGTTGGAGCCTGAAAAGAATGCTGGAGTCGGCAAGCTCAAATAGCTTTTCTGAGGTCACAGCTGGTAAGTGGCTGGGCCGAGCTTTGAACTTCCGTTTGTCTTTCCTGCCCTGCGCTCTTTCCACCTCCCTGGGCTGCCCTTAAGCCATAGATTGGGAGCTCCTGGAGCTGATGGAGTTCCACAATGTTGGTCACTGGAATTGATTCCTCTTGCAGGCAGCTCCTGCAGGGGCGCCCCTCCAGGGAGGTCTGACCAAGCAGACATCCTGACGGTCTACTCAGCCGCCGAGGGTAAGGAGATGGGTCATTGGGAAGCCTGTGGTTACACAGGGCCCAACTTCCTGGCCTACGATCTGGAGTAGCCTTAGGGGCAGCTAGGGCTTAGGGTTGGGGCACAGAGATGCCAGCCCAGCTGTGGTCCAGCCATGTTTCCTACATGGGTTATGATGTGTAGTAACAGCAGTGATAGTGAGTGCTGTGAGGTGCCACTGTGCCAACTACTGTGTGTGCAGGTTTCCTCTAGGCTGTGAGTTCCATGAGGCCGGGGAGATCTGCCTACGGAGGCACTGGTCAGTGTCTGGCACATAGTAGGTGCACAGTAAATGTGTGTTCAGTAGTGAATCTCTCCATAGGCTCACCTCTGCAAATATCTAGCAACAACTTGTTCCAGATGCAAGAAGTCCCTGCTCCCTGCCCTGTTCTCTTGCCTGATTCCTGGGTCCTGCCTGCTTGTACCCCACCTTCCACCAACAGTAGGACCCCTGGAATTGGAAGGCAGAGGGTTGGGGCCCTGGTCTGATGCTCTGGCCCTGGTCCCCTGACCTAGGCTATGTGGCCTATCGCGATGACAAGGGCTCAGATTTTATCCAGACACTGGTGGAGGTCCTCAGAGCCAACCCCGGGAGAGACCTTCTGGAGCTGCTGACTGAGGTGTGTTGGGGGGTTCCGGGGTGACAAGCGGCAAGGAGCTGGATTTGCCCTTCTCCCCAGCCCTAGTATTCTGATCACCTCCTATGAACTCCATTGGCAAAGGAGGGATCCTCTGCCCTCAATACTACAAGATAACCAAACACAGGATGCCCGACGCTGCACAGATGCCATCCATAGCAGTTCTTAGTCACACGTACTGCAGTTGGGTGGGGAGGAGGACGCTGCACACCATGCGGGGCCACCGGGGCTTGTGCTTAGAGCAGGGTGAACCTGCAGGGCCGGGGGAAGCTGGCTTTGTAGTGACAAGAGAGTGAGATCCCCCTAGTTCTCACAGGCAGATGTGGTTGGTTGGTTGGAGTATTTCCAAGGCCTGTCAGGGGGCTGAAGTCCATTAGGCTGAGGACCAGGTGGGGTGCAGCTGGTCTGCTGAGAGGGGACCTACCGGGTGGGAGCCTGTCCTGCTGGGTGGGGACATGTCCGGCCAGAGCAGAGGAATTCACCCTTAGTCCTCTGGAGCTCTGTGAGCCTCCCGGCAGCCCTTGAAATTTTAGGCCTTGCAATGCACCAGGCCAGGAGCTCTCCCTTGGGGCAGGGTGAGCCCCGGAGGGCTGTAGCCCCAGGCACAGGCTGGGTGTGGTCCTCAGGTCAACAGGCGGGTGTGTGAGCAGGACGTGCTGGGCCCCGACTGCAATGAACTCCGAAAGGCCTGCCTGGAGATCCGCAGCTCGCTCCGGCGCCGGCTCTGCCTCCAGCCCTGAGGGCGCCGCGGCCACCCGGGGACTGCTGAGACGGTGGCAGGACTCCAGCGCCATTCTTGCCTCCATCCACCCCCCAACCCCCGGTTTCCTCATCCGAGAGCGAAGCGTGGCAGCGTGGGGGTGGCCGTGCAATAAATATCTGCTGCAAACAGTGCCTGTTCTCAAAGACGTGTGAAATAAGTGAGATAATGTGTGTAAAGCGCCTGGCACTGCGTATGGACGCAATAGCGTCCGTGAGAACTGAGCTGGAGCCTGTGCCCAGGTTCCGGGACTCGGGAACCCAACATGGGCTGGACTGGGCTGGGCTGGGTTGGCAGTTCGGTTATGGGAGCATCCAGGGGGAGAGGGGTCCCAGGAAGAGGACGCATATCCCTCTCCCAGCCATGTCCCTGTGCATGCGCGCCCCACCTCCACCCCGCGCTGGGCCATAGAAACGCAGGAGACACGGCCTCCGCTTTCCAGGCGGCCAGAATAAAGTCTGGGGCCAAAAGCCTTTGAAACACACCTTTGCAGGTTCACCGGTGATGGAGCAAGCACAGGGGCTGGGGAAGCAGCTTGCAGCCCCTGACCCAAAGCGGCGGGAGGCACATGGAGGAAAGAGCTCCCAAACGGCGTCTCGGAGGGGCCTGCTGCGGGGAGGGTGGGGTCGGGCGGGCTCGCCAGGGCTCGAACTGACAGCTCTGGGCCCACGGCAGCAGCTTCCGCCCAGCAGCCTCAGCGGCTGGGCACGGTGGCCGAGCTCGCAGTCTCGCCCACCGCGAGGCCCGGAAGGACGGGCCTCCCCTCGCTCTAAGCATGCGTATTAAAGCCACAGCATAGGCTGTAGAAAGCTTTATGAGAAAACCTGTGAAAATTGTAGCCGCGGGGCCGCGTGGCCTAATGGATAAGGCGTCTGATTCCGGATCAGAAGATTGAGGGTTCGAGTCCCTTCGTGGTCGTTGCGACGTTTACCTTTTCTTCTCCTGTCACTGCACCGTGGGCGACAAGTACCCTCGAACTGAGTGAGCCGGTCAGTCGCCTCGTACCGCCCAAGGAACACTCGCACCTCGCCCTGCTCCTGCAGTCGCGCAACTAAGGACCTAGGGCCAGAATAGCAGAGAGGGCGACCCAGAGAGCTCCGGGAGGGCCCTGGGGGACTGCGGAGCTTGAAGCCAGAGAACGCGAGTCCTGGGAGCTGGTAGGGGACTGACTTCACAAATTAAAGCTCAAGTGATGGAAACCGTGACAGACGCGGGGCTGGGATTGCTTGCGGTGAGGAGTTGCCCCATGGGGTCAAAGGACATGTGCAGTGTTTTGTTTTGTTTCGTTTTGGAGACGGAGTTGCGCTCTCGTTGCCCAGGCTGGAGTGCAATGGCGTGATCTCCGCTCACTGAAACCTTCGCCTTCCGGGTTCAAGCTATTCTCCTGCCTCAGCCTTCCGAATAGCTGGGATCACAGGCATGCGCCATCACGCCCGGCTAATTTTTGTATTTTTAGTAGAGAGGGGAGGGGGTTTCTCCATGTTGGCCAGGCTGGTCTCGAACTCCTCAGGTGATCCGCCCGCCTCGGTCTCCCAAAGTGCTGGGATTACAGGCGTGAGCCATCGCATCCGGCGACATGCGTAGTTTAATTGATTATTGTAATGAAAAACTTTGTATCCTCTATCAACTGATCATGGGGTAGCAAAGTAAAAAAGAAAACAATCATAAATACCGGTGATGAACCAGGCGCGGTGGCTCAACGCCTCTAATCCCAGCTTTTTGGGAGACCGACGCGCAGATCATGAGGTCATGAGTTCGAGACCAGCCTGACTCACAAGATAAAACTCCGTCTCTACTAAAAATACAAAAATTAGTGGGACGTGGTGGCGCGCTCCTGCAGTCCCAGCTACTCAGGAGGCTGAGTCAAGAGAATCGCTTGAACCCGGGAGGCCGGAGGTTGCAGAGAGCCAAGATCTCGCCACTGCACTCTAGCCTGGGTGACAGGGCGAGACTCCGTCTTAAAATAGAAAATTAATAAAATAAACATATCAATTTCAAAGAGTATCGCCAGGATTGAGTTAATATTTCACCCAGAAAAAAAAATGTTTACGAGTGGAACCGAAGTTTAGTCCGAGTGCCGAGCAGCGCCGCGTTGGGGTATCCTTCCACGGGGTGAAGGCTGCGGAGAGTCACAGCTGCAGGCATGCCCTCCGGTCGGCAGACGCTAGTGACTTGGGGTCGTGCAGGGTGTCGCTTTCTCCTTTAATTTATTTTGAATTTTCAGTGGTTTACGAAGGTATTTGTTTTTGGTAGAGACGGGGCGGCGTTCACTATGTTGCCCAGGCTGGTCTCGAACTCCTGGACTGAAGCGTTTACTAGGTATTAAGGGAAAAGAACTTCATTAAAATATAGATTTTTTGAAAAGGAAAATAACACACATGTTGGGGCAGGAAAGTAAACACCCAACGTTGCGATCCTGAGATTAACACCGAGCCAGCTGGGGATGTAGAGGGCAGACTTTGGAGGGTCATTATTAAGAGGCTTCCGACCACTGGGCGGCACCGTTGGTGTAACGGACAATGCAGGGGAGGAGGACGCAGACCGACGCTTCCGCAAGCGGCGGGCTCGGGATGAGGAGCGGGTTGCTGAGCAGACATCGTGTGCCCCTTCCCATACACTCCATCCATCTCAAATGCATCTTTCACTACTAATTACCCCTAGACTTGGGTTCTCTGCTGAATGGAGACTAGGGCTCGTGAGGGAGTTGATCCAGGCAACTCTCGCACCCTAAGCGAAGATCATACCCCTAGACCAAAGAGCCGAGCCAAAAATCTGACGTTCGGTGTCTTTCAGGTCCCTCTGCACGTACGCGGTCTCTTTCGGGCACCGAGGATGCTCAGGAGGGGACGAGATCTGAACCAGAGCTTGGATTCCCGTGGAGGGGCGGGAGAAAGGCCAGGATAGGACAGGCAGACTGTGTGGGAACCATCGCGGAGTGACTGAGAGACTGGTCTCAGACAAGCGCCAGGTTGTCACCGTACGCCCCGGTGGCCTAATGGATAAGGCATTGGCCTCCTAAGCCAGGGATTGTGGGTTCGAGTCCCACCCGGGGTAAGAAAGGGATGAATTTTAGGTTCTTCAACGGGGAATAGAACTGGAATTTCGTTATACTCCGGTGGAGTCGCGGAGTTCCGGGAGTCTTCCCAGACAGGCTGTAAATCAGAAACCCGTACCTGTTTTCAAATAAGACCAGCAATTTCAGGTTACAGGAAAAAGAAGATGGACGTTT